TACATTTTTATTCGTGCGCTTATTTCTTACTTTTATTTAGACATTTGTAAAGTATAATGTAATATTATTTCGTCATAAATTTTAATTATCTTTATCATCATTACGTGGTACATCAAATAAACATGCTTCATCATAAATTAAAAACTATCGCTATTATTTAATAGTTGATAGAAAGATCTAATGCAAATATTGCATTGATAGCACAATTGATTAATTGTAAAAGATAAATGTAAAGAAATATATAAATATGCAGGGTGTCCGATAATTGCTGAATCACCTCTCGGGTGTAGGTAGAGCGGTTTAAACCGAATAGAAAAGTCCTCTATTATTTTGCGATTTTCGCAATAATTAATGAGGAATTAATTTAAAAATATTGGCCAATTTGCGCGAGTTTAAAAGCGCGGCGAGAAGAGACCCGTAGCGATATAGCTCACTGTTATTTGATTAGTAGACACGCGATAAATCGTTGGGTGGAGCGCTCTACAAATGACAACATACGGCGAAGTGTAAGATCCTTGCGTCCTAGCGACCACGTAACAACGGGCTGTTTCTTCTCGCCGCGCGCTTAGACTCGCGCAAATTGGCCGATCTTCTTTAATTAATTTCTCATTAATTATTGCGAAAATCGCAAAACGATAGATTTTTCTACTCGGTTTAACCCGCTCTACCTGCACCTGAGAGGTGATTCAGCAATTACCGGACACCCTGTATAATAAGATGGTAGCAAAGAAAAAAACATGATAAATTCTTAATTCGTAACATTCATTTAAAAGTTAAAAAACGTCGTGTTTCAAATATATCTTATAAATTATTACGATATATGTGGCATTTTATATAAATTTCGAAAACTTATTACATTCTATTTTAAGAACAAATTTTTTTTACTAACAAGTCAATCTTTCATTTAATTTTTCTTTTCTTATTAATTTACTAAAAATAAAATAGAATAGAATGTTGTCCAAATAATATTTCTAATTCTTCTTCACATTAAATGTTTTCCAATATAAATAATAAGACAATTTTAACATCGTTTGACAATGCAATAATTTAAGTCTTATAAGAAAACAATTAAAAACCAAAATATAGATTAATATGTAATGCTATAATTCTTTAATCTATTACAGATTTGAGAATAGACTCAATTTTTCTTACACTTTTATTTTGCGAGTTTTACGTGTAAGGAGACCAAGAACTTTCTTTCATAATTATATTCCGATAATTAATAGCGATACTTCTCGAATCAATTTATTTGCAGATTTTAAGCAAATTAAGATTCTGTTCAAACGATTTTATTTATATTAGAGTTGTTAATGTTACCTTAAGTCTCACGAGAATTTTTATTTTATCAAATCTCATCAGAGTTATCAAATCGATATTGATATTCTTGAATGTATTGCACTTACAATTAGCAGCCATATTGAAATATAGGCATCTACAGAATAAAAAAAAAAATTTTAATTTATAACAAAAAATGTAGTATTTGTAAAAATACTTGTTTAATAAGTCAAAAAATTAATCTTGTCGAAAATAATAGCGATTTTTAGCTTTCTATAAGTAATTTATATTCATATTTTTGTTCGTCGCACGCATGTATATTCCTATACAAAATCGATTAAAAATTTTGCAGATAATATTTTCGAGACATGCATACTGATATTTTGTACGTAACATAGCATGTACTTATTTATTTATATATTTTATATATTATTAATATGTGTAAAAGAATTGATAATTTATATGAGTAATGAACGCTCAATAAACACTCTGTAGTATTGAGTCGGCCGAAGGCGGGCCGATAGTATTATTTACACATGCGCACGAAAGGCAATCGCCCATCAAAAAAATATCATACCTTTTATCTTTCCTAACACATTGTTCAAAACATTTTAACTTATTTCTTTAAACGTTTATCTGAGGCCTGCACAAACCTTCTTTCTGCTAAGTCAAAGAAATTTCAGAAAAAAAGTCTAAATCAAAATGATTTATGACTTTTTCTCTGAAATGACTGAATTGGAAATGGAACTGAACTTTTTAAACAGGAAAATTCTTTACATCAGCATTGCGTAAAGCATTACAAAGAGAAGGTCAATCATCTACAATCATGGAATATTTTACTTCCTAAAAAGAATTTAATGATGCGGAAAATTTTTAGTAAATGAATATAGATTTGTCGAATGTATCGTATCTTTTAGTTTGAAAAAATTACTTTATCGGTAAATCAGTAATGAAAAAGTTAAAGAGCCGCTTTAAACTGATCAAAAATTAATATGCATTTTATATCTTTGAAAGATTTTGGACAATTTTTGTCTTAAAAAATTAAAGTTAAAGAATTCTCGCAATTTGAAGAAAGCAACAATTATATCAATAATAACGATTTCTAAATCTATAATCAATAATGCTTTCTGACAGTTGCATGTGATTAATTAAAAAATGTATACTAAAGTTTTTTATTCAAAATATATTTACACATTAGTGCTTTTTTTTTGCAAAAAAGATAATAACAATTTTACTTCGCAAAGTGAATATTCGTATCTTTTCAACGTAATATATCTGTCAAAATTTTCTATCCGCGGCTTATGTTAATATTATAAAAAAAAAAAATTGACAACAAAATAGAATAAAAAAATCAGAAATTAAGCAAAGAAACAGTTATTCCTGACACGACAAGAATGACATCTCATTATATCGATTTCTCGTGATCACGCCAAATTTAGTCGTCCGTTCTGGACCCGGACAAGCGTCTTGTCATTCATAGAAAAGCACCCGATGCTCAATTCATCGCATCGCCTCCTTTCCCATGTATACAAATTTTTGCTCTTTTGGCTATATAACCCACATTTCTATGGTGCATTCGCGGAGGACCGTAACCCGTTATTTTGCGATGGTCTTTCCCGTGGCGGTCGGTCGGTCCTCGGATGAATGCATTCGCTATTTGCATCTGCCGCATACTCACAAATGCACATGTTCGCTTCGTAACGGTATCGGATGGACGCGCATCCACCCCGTCACTTCTCTCGAAATGTCCGGATTAACCGTGAATGGCCAGATGTGCCGTTGGCACTGATAATTTTCCCAAAACGTTCTCGTAAATGACGGAATCGTAGAATAAGAATAATACACACCTGCCGCGCCTTGAAGTTTTCAGCGACAACTATATTATTGCTAATAAATAAATTGCATGTATAAAAATCGATGGATTTCAATTTTTCATTTTTGTATTTGTATTGTCCACACAATCGGGAGGACTCGCTATTTAATATTTAAATTCGAAATATTCGCATAGGCACGTGTGTGCATGTACGTGTGAGTCTATTCTGTGGCCAAATTTCAATATTATATGTATAAGTGATGAAATAGCTATTTAACTTCCCATTACCACTCGCTTAGCTAATTAACGCAATCGTTGAGTTATTTGTTTGCGTTATTTATCGTTTCGTAATTCAGTTTGACTAATGGCTGTCGACTTTACGTAAAGTAATTGAACGTTGAAAATGACAGAAAAGGTCGATCGAAAATGACAAAATTGATACCATTATTGATATACCATTACCGAAATATTGTTATTGTACAATCTCTGATCAACATTATTGTTTGAAATTACATACCAGAGAATTGCTTCATATATTACTCTTAAAAGTTTATTCAATTCCATATAATATAATAAATTAATATTAGAAATAGTTAATAGTTAACTAATATAAGAAATAATTAAGTTCTTAAATATCGAGAAATATTAAATTTTATATTGATATTAATCAATTGAGATATATATGTAAATATAATGGTCAAAGCTTTGATAACGATCTGTGTGAGAGATTTAAACTTAAATTCCTCGTAGGTTTTATTTAATTAATTTGTCTTTTAAATAAAAAATGTTTTTTTGAAACAAGCTATTATAAAAATGAAACAAGCTATTATAAAAATAAAACAAGCTATTATAAACTGTAATCTATTTCATTGTGATTGCCTAACATTATTTCCTGCAAAGAAGATAAAAGAAACCGAAAAAAGCTTCCTATTTCTCTTTATCTTCAAGTCAACTTCGGCCATTCAACAAAAATATCTATTGTCATTTGTTTACTTCATAATAGGCTCCTGATAAAATCCAACTTCCGGCGATTATGTTTCTGTAAAAATCGCAATGTGTGTCCTGAGTAAAAATTCAGAGAAACTACACATATTTGAATTTTCTTTTCACAAACTTTCTCTTTCCTTCCAAATAATCTAATAATTAATAACAAAATTATTTGGCTTTAAAATCATTGCGTTCAAAGACCTTAATATATCTTTAAGCCTTTTTTGTTTTAAATGGAAATTATTGACTTGATTTTTGTCCTTGATATTTGTCCTTTTCTTATAAACATTTATTTGATGATAAAAATATTATCTTTAATTTATATATAAATAAAATTGTTAGAAAATATTTTACTTTTTTTCTTTCCTATGTGCATTTAAAAATGACAGCTAATTAGTTTTAGCAACTTCTCATGAGACATTCTGTATATAAAAAGTGCGAAGTAATTGCAATTACGCTTCTTCTATTTCCTATCGAAAAATGCCAAAATTTTTTGCCTATTGCAACTTGTATTTTTAGACATAATCAATCTTTCAGTCATGCCGTCTTCTTTCAAATTCCATTTTTTTCTACGACAAAAGAATCAGGTATTCTATTTGAATCAGGTATTTGTTACAGAGTTATGCAAACCTTACGAACTTTTTTTGGTCCCTAACGTCCATCATCTCCGTCATTCCGGTCTCCGGGCGATCGTCTCCATTCGTTTTTAGCCAACAATCAATCATTCATTGCGAACTTCTATTATTCTTGGCACAGGAGGTGTAAGCTCCTTCCAATCGGCCATATTGGTCTAATGCACACTCCTTTTTAATACACTTCCACAACAAACACACCTTCGCATTTCAAAAATAAAATTTTATTTTTTGTATAAAAATCACCTTTGTGTATGAAGATGGATCTCTTTAATATGCGAGTCAAAAAGTTCCACTCAATTTAAATATAACTATGTATGCAGATATTCGCAATGTTACAAATATAACCTGAGAGATTTTCTTACTCTCTTAAAATTAAAAAATTTTTTTTAGTTGTTACGATTCTGTATATAATTTCTCACATGAAAAAGTTAATATAGCTTATCATCTTACGAATAAAGTGGACTTCATTTAATAACTATATTTGATTTCATTAAAATGCTTGGTTTTTATATTGTTGGATGTATTTTTATAAATATTTCCACAGAAGAATAAAATTAAAGAACTTCCCAATATTAATTTTAGAAATAAAGTGTTTCTTCAATATTATAAGTACAAAATAACAGCACCACTAAGAATTTAAAACCGAAAATCCCTTCATAATATAGAAAATATTTGGTGTCGAATCGTCGAGACTGCAGAAGGTTTCGCAGCAGATTGTATGGTATCAAGTTACTAAGCCGAATAGCAAAGAGTTGAGCCACCGACAACACGAAAAACGTTTACTTGCCATTTGTTTGAAAGGCTTTCAAGGGCCGTGGCTATTTGAAAACTCAAGCATTGTTAACTTTCTTTCAGTTTTGTTACCATCGTTGAATAAATTTACTGGCGACGACTGTTAGTTCTTAGCGCATATCTGCTCTTGAAATATTTTTATTACGTTAAACAGACATTAATTTCACAATCAGATTAGATATATAAAGTGAACGATAACTAAAACCTCACTTCATTTTCGATTACGATACTATGCTTTAATTATCCATATTCAGTGCCGGATTTGAGTGAAGACCGACAGGGCGATCGCCCAGAGAGGCCCCTATAAACAAAACTTGATTAAAAAAAAAATTTGGTTAAAAAAATCTATATATTTATATTTGATGTATTTTTTTGGAAATGTATCAAATATTTTTTAAATATATGCCATTGGTTTCCGGGTAACCGCGATGTGCATTTTGGATACCAGAGTTTCGTAAACATTGTAGTTTGCATTATTAAATATATCTTAAATATTTGTTGCAATAATATTGAAATATGGTATTCAACTTTGATAACTTAAATTTAAATAAGTTTTCAATAATTTTGATCTTTTACGAATTAAGGCCCCCACTTCTTTAAATTCGGCACTGTCCGTGTGAAAAAACCAACGGATAGCAATAAATAGTAATACAATATAATCTTGTATACATATTTGTGTATAACAACCATGTTACACAACACAACACTAGGCTAGAAAACTTACTATCAAAATAAAATGTTATTAGATAACATCACAGATAAGAATTTTCTTGCAACACTTATTTTATCATTTAGTGAAAGTTCAGTGAACTTTCTTATTACTAAATTGTTAATCTTTATGACTTAACGTGCTTCTATTTTTAATGTGTTTATCCTTTGAAATATCATTAAAATGGTAATTTATATTTAACAAAGCGTAACAACTAATTCAAAACATTTCTTTCTTTCTGTTGTACACGATTATCGTAATATTTATAATTAGAAAGATTAAAATACTAAAAGAAAAAAAGTAAAAGTTCTCATCAAGAAAAGAAATAAATTCTCACGAACTTTGCTCGATGACGTCAGCTATACTTAGTTTTCCATAAAACAGAGAAGATGAAAACTCACCAAAATTTAATGAAACACTCAGACGTCCGTACGCCTCGTGCGCTTTTCGTTACAATCATCTCGTCGAATAGGTTATTTGGATTCTCATTGGGTTCTCATTCTCACATATATAAATCTAATTAAAAATATCCAAATAAAAAAATAAAGATACCAAAGCTACGCAATTTCTCTTCTAGATAATTTCTGCAATTAATGCACAAAAAAAAACATTTATGAAATATAAAATTATTTTTGTTTTTGTTGTCAAAACAAATATAAATTTGATAGAAATAAAACGCAATTTTGATGCATAGAAAACACATAAAGTATCTGATAATGCAACAACTGTTTCATTGTCGCATATCTACAAGATGGATCTTGTAACTTGATCAAGATGAATCTTTCTTTGTCCTAGAAATCCTTTACTCTAGGTTGAGAACAATTTTCCTTTCCGAAAAATACGGATATTGGTCAGCATGTCATATGGTCAATAGTATTTGGGTGGGCGAATGGAGATTGCAGAGGGAGTTACAGATGCGCTAAGTCCACCGACCAGCCTACATTCAAAGAACGAAGTGCAACCCGTATCGTCAACCCTTTCTATTGTGAATTTCCTCGAAACGGTCCACCGTTACCTGAATGGTCCTGATAGTAACGGCGTACGCAGGGTGAGTGACATTTGTCTAAAAAGTGTGTCAATCGTAATTTATGATTTGCGAAAAATCTTCATCGTTATAATCTTGTTGTATAAACATATTTATTGCATAATATTGTTCGAACATTTTGTAGTCCCTTGTTATAAAGCTTTCAAAAAAGCGGGAAAATTATTCAGTCCAAGATTTGTCGCAGATATTACGTATCTTATATAATTATTAATATTATCAATAAGTATGAGAATATTTTGTTAATAGTACTAAAAGATATCATAATATTTGCGACATTTCTCTAATGTTATAAGAAACAACGAATCCCAGAATTATATAAGATTCCGCTGAAAAGTAAAAATTCGTAAGAAAATGTCGCTCCTTTAAATATTTTAAGAAACACCGTTATTTTCAATCTGAACATAATTAACAAAAACAAAATGATTTATTTGATATTTTCTGATAAAGGAATATATATAGGAATTACATTACGTTCTAATACAGTCCAGAGATGATAGTAGCTAATAATTTACAAATTAATCGCGCTTTATTACATGTGGCAAATCATACTTTCCACGAACACATTTAATTTTAACACCAGGTGTATCCCTCAGCCGCCCAACCCTGCACAGCACAATGTTGTGTTCTTGCAAATTGTGACCTATACCTGAAAATAGTTTACACTTTAACTACGTGCAACTTCGACGTTATCTGCTTCTCACATAACATACATCTTTCTGTTACAGAGATAAATCAATCAGTAATTAGCTGCAAACACAAAATATCATCGTACCAGGAACATATGCCGCCATCTCTTTCCCGCTTGATAATCTTACAATGACGCATTTTCGATTAGCAGAGTTAGGTTTCTTTGGCTTCTTAATGACCGTCTTTAAAACTACACCTTTCATGAATGGATGACCGCCAAACGGATTCTTCGAAGGCTTGGGTCTTTTGTATGGTCTGTTTCTTCTGTGCATTTGCCATAATGTGCTTCCTAATCTTATTTGTCCCAAAAGATTTATCCCTAGATGTATGAATGATCATGTAATCGTTTCCCGTATTGACGTAAAAAATAATTTTGATAAAAAAACTATCCTAATATCGAAATCGTGTGAACTATCGAGCTCATTTTTCACGTGATTAATATAATTGTGTTCAAACTTATTTTAGATTCAAATATTAATCAATACAACATAATTTTTATGCAATCATCACATTACGAAAAACATTCTTATAATTTCAAAATCGCTCGAGAACGCAAGGCTGAAAAATATCATTATACAGGATGTCTCATTTTAAATAAAGCATCGAAATATTTTTAAAATAAAAGACTTTTGGGAAAAAGTTTCCAGATTAAAGTTATGCATTTGCAGAGAAATATAAGATGGTTGTCTCTTTGTCAACAGCACAATTTTCATTTAAAACTTTTCTTTTCAAGTGTCTCGTTTTCAGAATATTTAGATGCATTATTTAAAATCGGACATCTTATATATATATGATCTTTTTATGTATTATCTTATATATTATTAATATTGTATAAAAGCATTAATGTGCGTCTCGTATTTAAAAGCGATAATAAAAGCATCATATCAAGAAGTAATATCTCGCGCCAAGTTCATGTGCATATCTCTTACGAAATTATGAAGCAAAGAATAGATAAACCTAATAAAATAGATCTAATATAGATAAAAATGGAATAAAATACTGTAAAAAAACATCAGTCAGAATTTGGAACTATCTACATTTTAAACAAATTAAAAAAAATTAATTTTTAACGAATTTTCAAATAGATTTCAACAAAGACTGACGTGCAAAACTGAACGTAATCTTTCATTCCGTATATCTGATTTTACTAGAATATTAACAGTCTACAAAAGAACAGTCTACAAAAGAACAGTCTAGAAAAGAACTTGACTTTCGTTCGCAATTACGCTTAAATTCCAGCCTTCCTTAGAATCCGCCCACTGGATGGTAAACATCGCGTGATAAACGATACCGACGTATTCACGTCAAATTGATGTTAATGCAAATGGGTTTATAGTTAAGAAAAAAATGGTATTCTCTCCTTATTCTCTTGCATATGTGTGCTAGTAAATGCTAAGTGTTAAGCAACTTGTATTTTCCTCTCACTTTACTATTAAATGCGCAAACCGTGCTTAATAATTCTCTCATGGAATACAGTATAACTTTACTATAAAAACGTGGAACTACGAAAAAATTGTAACACGTATTTATCTTTCTCGTTTTCGGAAAAAACATGCAATACGAGAGAAACGTGTTTAGATAAAAGAAAGAATTTCTTTGGAACACACAATTGGAAAATGTGTAATGTCTGACCACAAAAAATCTCCTGCAGAGAATCCTCATGGGACATTACAACAGATCATCAATCTTAAAGAAGAGCGGCTCTGTCTTTGTGAAAGTTTGCTCTATTTAAACTTAAAAAGTTTAGGGAACTTAAGTAATTTTTCCCTAAATTTTTTCAGTTTAAATAGAGCAAACTTTGACAAAGAAAATTACAAAAGAAAAACTAGTTGAACTACTTTCAGTTTAATACGTGCTTGTGATTTCTGAGATTTGATGAATAGCATTGAACAGGCCCGAAGGCTTAGAGAGCCGCCGGGCAAGTCAGTCAATTTTGAGATAAAAATTTGAGATCACACAGTCTACTACTGACTATAATTAATATTACTGACAGTAATCGGTTATGTGTGTGTGTGATTGTAGCTTTACTAAAAACTATAACATTGATCGATTAAAAAGATGTCAAATAATTTTCGATATACCAGAACTCGTAAACGTATAAAAATGTCCAAGCGTGCAAGAAATATTATAAGCAACTCGAACGTTAAGTGTGATTTACCAGATAATATTGGAGATCTCAACTTCATCTCGATCTCCAAACTTATTATTCTCGACAAAGAGCGGACATAAGAGCATTAAAATGCACTTATCGCCCTTGTTGCTTAAATTATTATTTCGTCAGTTTAGCACCCCATGCAGCCATCCAATTTTGAACCTGGCCCAAAAGCCGTCTCTTGAAAATAATGAATGTTTTCAAAAAATGAAACGATACCGACAGGAAGAAATAAGAAAGGCGCATTAGCAATATAAACATCATCACTTGACATTTCAAAAATATTATATGTCTGAAAGTTTTTTTCAGTATTTTGCTGAACGTATTTCGTCATAAATTTGATGAATTTCGTGAATAATCTGCAATCTCTAATAACTCACAATTAATTTTTATCAGTTTAAACCACATAATTTTTAAAAATTTGTTTTACTTTTGAAGCAGATAAAAATTTTGAAATTTTTTAAAAGATCTTGAGCTGTACACACAATTAGAAGATTCAATTTTAATATAAACGTATTTTGTATATTGCTCATAATTATTAATTTTATTGTTTTATTCTACCATGCTGTTTATTATTAATTTAGATAATATTATACTTTCTAGAGTGTCAATAAATTTGATAGAAAGATATCTTAATTTAAAAAACCCATTCACATTTTTAGAAATTTTTAAAACGAGAGTCGTATGACAGTAAGGTCGGAAAAAATGAAGCGATCATTCTTCGAAATGAAATGTCAGATGTGACAATTTCTCGATCTGCCTGTAAGATTTTTCGATCTGCTGCGCGATTCAACACATTCAAGGCCTGTTGAAGAAGACTGTACCATTGTTGTTCATTTCGATCTGACTGACCACGGTCCATCAATACGACAGATGTCCAAAGCTGGGCACTGGCTAATCCCTGAACCCTAACTTAGGTTTAACTAAGGCAGGAAGAACCATTATTCACAGAAAGCAAACCCTTTTCTTCAGAGATGAATACGCAAGATTACATTGCGAAAATTTCAATCTTACTGTTACGCTTTTACTGCATAGTCGCACGTCGTTCTTTCACCTTCATTCATCCTTGTTATGGTTACGATCTTACGGTCAAAAAAAAATGCGGATTTAAGGATTCCTTCTCTTAAGATGGTTGTATAATAATTATACCGTGGTATTTGAAAACTATAGATTAATAATAAATCGATATTTATCATATTATATTAATTTTAATTACATTTGATACTCAAAATTTATATATAAAACAATTGTTTCTTAAATTGCAATAAGAAATGTATAGACACTTGTGATTTGACAACATTTTTATGTTAAAAATGTATAAGCAACTTTTAATTTTCAATCATTCAATTCGGAATTGTTTTTGCGGAATATATAGCGTAATGTAATTGAATCATGACAGATGGATTAAAAATGTTAAAAATATAAACTTTCCAATACCAATAGCTAAACGTAGATAAAAAAATGTTGTACAAGTTATTTGAAAATCTGGAAGTAAATATAAATTTTCGAAATGAAATAAAGCTTGCCATTAAACAAATCGATAATATTACTTTAAGAACGATTATATAAATTAATTATAAACGGCATGGTAGAATGGATACAAATAAAATTAGTGATTTATGAAATTAACGAAACGCAGAACCTTCAATTCTCATAAGTCGTCGTTTGCGAACGCTCTCACGAATGTGTCATGAATAGTTCACGGATCCGCCCTTTAGGGTTGCGAGAAAAACGGAAAGGGGAAAACACGCGCTCTCTCCTACGCTGATCTCCCCAGTGACAACTGGTCAACCGCAAATGGACACGTCACCCCCCTCAATTCCCAGCGATTTTCGCTATTGGTCACGAGGACGTCGTCTTTACGCTGTGCGAGCCCTTTCTTGCGAAGTGGCCGAATGGATCCCTTTTCGTATTTCGAGATCTCTGCCTTTAAGGATCAAAGAGGTGAGGGGTGCACATATTTTCACAACGGAAGAATGCCACGCGCGATGGGAAATTTAACCAACTTCCTTCGATCGCTCCTTTCGCCCGCTAAAGCCGAGAAAACCGCGGAGATATGTATCTCTACGAAAGGCGCCTGTACAAATGATCTTTGAGAGAACCAGCCTAGTTATGCACAATGCCCCGGATATTTCACACGATTTCACATAAATAGATTTCACGTAAATAGATCACCAAACTGACTTGTTTTATTTCAATCTTCATCTCGATTTTTTATTTTCAAATTGCTATTTAAATTTGCACTTTAAAATTTATATCAGCTGCGTAAACCAAGATATTTATGATTTGTAGAATGTTTTTCGTATAATTCAAAATAATGTAAATTTTGTTTAACCCTTTGCAGTCCTCTGAAGCCACTACTATGACATACATTTAATATGCACTATAAAGCTTGAGATGCAAAGGGTTAAAAAATCAAATTATGAAATAAACAAAGTAGACTTATCATGCAATTATTTCAATAAAAGAAAATAAGATATCTTATCTAAAATTATATGTATATTATATAATAGATAGATATTTAGATAACATAAATCTATTACATAAATCAAAATGATATCAATTAGATGTGACTTTAATTGACTAGTTTCACAAAATAGACTTTATAAATAACAACTTCTTGTCAACTATTTTCTTTAATATTAAATTAGCAATTTACTGGCAGAGAGAACCAAAAGACTAAAACAGTAAATGATCAATAACACAAAAATGTACATGTAATTTACATACAAATATCAATACTTAAAAATCATCTTTAATAATAATCATTTGGTCACCCGGTAAGACCCAATAAGACTAACTTTTCATTATAAATTAAAAACTATTATAATTGTGATTGCTATAAAAATATATACATTTTATTACCTCGCACCGTTGCATTCACACATGTTCCTGTAGCGCTTAGTATACTTCCTGTTAATAGCGAATATAAGATTTTAATTCATTATTCGGATAAACTATTTAATATTATGTATTACCTTGAATATAATGATTTGTATAGAACTTTGTTAAACTTGATTTGCTACCTAGAATAAATTAATGAAATGGTCAGACTTTATAAACAGCCAGAATAGCTTTAAAAAATATAAACGATAAAATAAAATATTTCTGATACATATTTCAAAAATAAATACCTCGCTTAAAAATTACCAATAAATTTCTCGTTATTAAGATAATTATGTTGACAATATATTGCAAATTGGATGTTACATTTGAGGTTAGATAACCAAAAAAATAATAATGTTATATCGTGTGGTAACAGTACCTTGGATAGAACTTGCTATGCAAGTTTTCGCTATGTTTATAACGCTCCTGGCTAAGGCATTCATGATTAACGTAATTAACTAACTTTTTCTACAATAATTTAACCTCATCTGATATGATAACTTGTGTTCACTGATGTTCACTTAGCGGTGCCTAGTGACGAAAAGGCAAACTATTATATGACAAGATACGTACATAAAGTAGAAATTCTACTTGCCGATCAATTCTACCGCAAAAATAATTAAATTTTTGTTTACAATTTGTTTACTCTGAATTTGTATTCTGTCTTATATTCAGACAAAAATATTTTATTCAAATATGTTTTCTATGTTATATACTTGAAGGCAAAGAACATGTGTGTGTGTGACGAACACATTGCATAACAAGTTTAAAAGTATAAATATTTAAAAAAAATAATAATAAAATAATAATAATAATGTTTCTTGAATATAAAAACAATTACAAAATTAAATAAAATTAAGATAATATTTCATATCTCAATATATTTTTATTTTTATTTATATATCAATCAATTTATTAAATAAAATAAAAATTATTATCTCAATTTTGCTTAATAATTGATTCATATATAAATAAAAATAAAAATATATATGCAAATTCGAAAATCATGCTTATAAAAAAACACACCTTCCTTTCGCTACAACAAAGATCACAGAAAAAGACTATGATTATTAAAAAATACAAAATTTATTTAAAAAATTACAAAGTACAAAACTTGAAGACAAATATTTAAAAAGGGTACAGCGTCGATAGAGGAAACCGAAGTCATATCGGTGTTTCGCAACGTCAATTATTTATTATTGCTTGTGTCGTCACCATCCGTTGCCATAACCGGCCCCAAAACCGGCTCCGAGACCTTGTCCCAGTCCCGCTCCATATCCCAATCCCGCACCGTATCCGAGTCCCGCACCGTATCCGAGTCCCGCACCGTATCCCAATCCTGCAGCGCCGTATCCGAGACCTGTGTTGTATCTGATGCTCGGACCGTATCCAAGTCCAAGTCCCGCGCTGTACCCGAGACCTCCGTAACCTTGTCTTAGACCACCGTATCCCAGGCCGCCGAGACGATTCGACGAATATGCATTATAGCCATGGGACGCTATGGGTGCGCTGTACCCATAGCCAGACGCAATGCCATGACCCAGAGAATAACCCGAACCAGCACCAAGGTAACCGGCTCCGTAGCCTAAAATTAGAAAGGCGTTTCGCATGACTTGTGAACAAAGTGGATCCGCGCAAATCACTGAACGTGAAATATTTGGGCGCAAAAATCGAAATCAAATGGAAGCATTAATACGGGACATTATAAAGTCCAAGATATGAATTGCTCATAAATCAAGCAATTTTACATAGATACCTCCTGCAGCTAAACCTCCTGCATATCCACCGTAACCAGAATTAAGAACACCTCTTTTTTCTTGTTTTTTTTCTACCTGCGTCTCCTGACAATAAATGGGCATTGCCAAGCCAAGAGTAACCAACAAAATCTGGAAAATTTTTGTTTTAGAATTTTAAAATGCATCAAACTAAATACTCATCATATTAAAACAGTTCGCTCTCAATGCTAATTCACTGAGAATTTAAATGTAAGAAAAATATATTTTTTTCTCTTCGATCTCATTATACATTAAAAAAATGATGAAAAAAACATAATTACTATTATAACGTATGAAAACTTTTTAGAATTTACAAAAAAAATTTTAGCGTCACAATCATTAGAGAGTTAACAAATTGTATGAGACATATGTATTGCAAGAAATTTTAACAATAAGATAAAGAAATAATTCACAAACTATCATTTGCGGATATTTCATACATTTGGAGGAAATTTTATGCGCAAAGATAATAACATTTTTAGTTATACTCTTGAAGAAAAATTGAAATTACTTACTACAGCATTCATGGTGACGACGATGATGCGACGATGCAGAAGTCACTATTGAAACTGATGCTGACTTCACAAGACACACCCCTTTTTATACCGGTGGAGTCTTTTCTCACAGTATTGAATCTCACCGAAACGAATTATATGTGTGTATATGTATCGCACATTTACGCGACTCACGCACTCACACATGCAAAAAGAGATGTAAGAGCAGTTAGCGTGATAGTCTATAGAAGTAAGAAGGTAGAGGTACGCGTGCCTAATACGCCTTTCTAAAATGATTTTTCTATCGTACTCGTCACGAAAATTCTTTGTTAGATCGGGCGATCGACATCAACATCATTTACGTCGATGGAAATCAAGAATCGATCGATCGGTTATTCAAAGAGAATCAACACATATTTTCCGTAAAGTAGATAAAAGTTGAATATAGAATATATCAATATTTCTTTTCATATCTCTCATTAAATTGAATTTGAACGATTCAAAATTACGAATGAGTTAAATAAATAAATGATTTAAACTACTTATAATTATATTGTCATTTGTAGTACACATATAGTATCGTACTTTTTCTGTTAGATAAAGTAAAATAGTCTCCGTGTAAATTCAATATTTATCGTGTTAAGCTTAAACTTTTAATCTTCTCATTATTAAAACTACAATTATATTAATTTTTGGACTTCTAAAATAATTATTATTATATCGGTTAAATTTTCTTATTCTGTCTACATTATAGATAGTGGATAACTTAAAAAGACGATTGCTAACTCAGAGTTAGTCAATGATTAATTAATTAATTAATCAAAAGAAATGCTCGTCAATAGAAAAAAGATATCATATGACGTCTCTAATATATCAACTGCATATATTAAAAATATATCATATAAGCATAATTTTCTCAATCTAAATGCGCAACAATGCAATCATCAATATCCATCCTGATTCATTAATATAACATAACGATATGTTTTTTCAGTACATCTTAAATTTCAGCAATGACGAAACTTTCACTCGCAGTCCTGCTGATTATCAATTGCAACGTTATATAAAAACACGAAGATATTTTTTCTGTACAATTTGCCTCTTGCACTTTCCTTGTGTTGCAACTTATTATTAACGTTTTACGACTGAAGCAATGGAAAAAATAAGACGATAAGAAAATAAAAAAAATTTAGCATTTAAAATTTGAAATGTTTCACCAGAAAAAAATTGTCACAAAAATTTGTTCTCTTCAAAAAAGTTATTTTCAAGTTTATTGTTAGCTAAATATATTTTTCAAAATTAATTTTTAATTGCAAACTTCCTAATTTATATATTAAAATGCACAAAAAAAATTCTTTTTGACTAAACAATGAAATAAAGAATTAACTGCTAAAAAAATTAACAACACCATTTATCATTGTCTGATGCAAGCGTTATCTTTCTGTTACGTCGGCGTTTGGAATAATCACCGTTTTATGGACTGCCATGAACTCGATTCGACAGCAGGCCGTTATTAAATTAGCAAAAAAAAATCTTAAAGGCTCGTTAATCTTGAGAAAGAGAGTAGGGGATACACCTTCGAGTCTTCGAAAGGGCCGTAAGGCTAGTAAGATCTTACAACAGCGCGCGATAGTCTTACTATCAATGCACGTCAATAAAGCACGTCATAACGCTAATTTTTTGCGAGGGAGGGGAGAATGGTTTATCGCATCAAAGGTCGCGTGCGAACGGCTGTTGTGCAAAGCGAGCGCAATGAGAGGGTTGCACCGGCACACCCCGCTTGACCAACTACATCTACGCGGGAAATCGCGGATATCGGCATGAATAGATCAAGATCGGTACCGGATGTAAGTGCCAGCATTGGTAAAAGTTTCGGATACACGTTTCTCTTATTACTCTGCACCATCTGTTATTTTTCTGATGCTAATTAGTTCATGGACATCTCAGTTTATTATTCAACTCATTTACTTTAATTTCCCAATTATGAATAAGAAAAAAAATATTATATAAAAATATCTTATAATGATGAGCATCTTATTATGATTGGCATCAAGCTAAGAAAAAATTAATTGTATGATAAGTTAATTATATATGTTTTTATAGATAATTAATTATATTGTATATAAAAGTTAATTTAATTATGATAATTATATAATTATATATAATTTTACTTATTAAAAAAATCGTGAATCTTTTATACAAATATATAATCTTATACATTCAATAAAATATAAAAAAAAAAAAAAAAAAAAATAACGGTAATAATAAACGTGCTATGATTAAATATATATACATATCTGTAAATTTATTCAGACACCTTATTTTTTATAAAGGATCTGAAATATGCAAAAATATTTAAAAATATTTAGACGTTTTTTCATCAATTAATAATCTTTTCCTAGCTATAATTTTATAGTTGCGTGTATATGCAAAGAATAAACATGAGTAAATATTTCTTTAAATAGCACGACATCCATGAAATTCGATATCCGTAAAAGATCGTCATAAATATGTAACTTCTGAAATGCAACGTCTTTTAATAGTAAGCAATTCAAATTAATGAGATAAAATACGCAACTTATTTCAGATTCAGCCTTGCAGATCTTATTGCGAAATAAACCTGTAGCACCAGTCACTATGATGGCCGATAATATATCAATACATCTTATTGCTCCCCGGAATACTCAGGTAAAATTAGATTTAATCAATGGACATAAAATTGTTTAGTCTATGATTCGATTGTGCAAATCCGGAATTCTTCATTCATTAAACTTAACCGAATGCATAAGAATGTGTGCAGTTTGTAATACTTGACGCAATCTTCTGATATTTGCAGAATATTTGCACAATTGCAGAAAATTATAACGTTTTCAGCTAATTTTATAAACTCATATTTTAAAAACATATTAAATACATAGATGCAAAATAATTCGCAAATTACAAACAAAAAATAAGTAACAACAAAAGTAACAAAATAGAAATAAAAACATTAAACATATTAAAGATTAAAATAAAATATAAAAAAATTGTAAGTAATTTATTAAAATATAACAATCATTATAAAACATTAAATAAAATAATAGATAAATAAATATAAAAGTTAATTAATTACTCAAAATAAAAATTATTTTAAATTATCAAATGTTCAAATCTTGATAATTTCGTCCATTTTAGAATTAGAACTACATTATTTTATTTTATACACACAAGTGTACTCTTGATGCAAAATTTATAAATGTAGTTTAAACATATGTATTAATAGCGGTATCATTATCGACAGTGTCAAAGAAACACGTAATAGTTCATATACTAAAATACATGTAGGTAGCAGTATTCAATACGAATCAATAAACCGCGGGAAACAGCTGTTGGCTCTGATAACTATAGAAAGTGTATGGAAGCAGCGGTAGATGTCGAGAAGATGCTATTCACGCATGTCATGAGTACATAACCTTTTGATTTGTTTAGTTGAACACTGCACATATATTACAGTGTTAAATAATAATAAATTATATTATTTTTGTGCCATAAAACGTAATGATCTTGTAAGAATTTGGTTTTTATATATTTATATACGAAAATTTTGTACGGCATATATAATCAGTCAAAAAAACGTACGGCTTTTTCCCTGGTAAGTTTTGTTTACGTTTAATAAGTCGGCAAAAAATTATATATTTATTCATATTCGGCAATTATATACTTATATGAAACTATAAAACTATTTCAATAAAAGAGGTACAACAAATATCTTTCATTGCTAAATTTACTAACTTCTTTTTTAATCAATCAAATATCAACGTTTCTATCAGTGTTTTAATAAAAAATAATATATTTTATATTTTGCATTATTTTGTTTATACTATATTTAATTGTTAACAGAACTGGCGACAAATGATCATTTAAATATACAAATAATTTGCAACTACACATTAATCTATAAGAAAACAACTATGTTGAGAATTTTCAAGTATATTTTATATTCAACATTTGCACGAAATATGTACCAAATATCTGTTAGAAGAAAATCTTCAAAAGCTGATAAAATAAAAAAGTTGATGAAAGAATATAAATCAGTGTTTGGTACATTAGTTGAAACAAAAGCCGAAAAGAAGAAAAGACTAAAATTGGAAAAGAAAGGAAAAATTAGCCAGCAAAAATCAAATGACATAGATACAGAATTTTCATGGGTTATGGAAAATTCTGGCAATAATCTGAAAAAAATTATTTTAGAATCACAAAACGTATCAAATTCTAATGACAGCGAAGAAAAGCTTTTGACAAAGTTTAACAAAAGTTCAACTGACGAAAATGTAAAAACGATTTCTCATTTTAAGTATAATCAAGTCCAAAAAATAAGACTTTCAATTACTAATTCCAAATTGTCAACTGTTCAAGATATGAATAATAATCACAATAAAGTTGGTTCTATAACAGAGTCTTCACATTTTAATCAAGATATGCCTATAGAAAGTAGCAGTATTCATAAGAATGCTTCAAATTCCAATACATCTGATATTAAAAATACATCTATTAAGTATGTGTCCTCTAAAAGTCTATCTGACATTATTATAAAGAATCTGCTATCTTTCCCAATAATGGGCAGCAAACAAGAATCATCCACAGAATCGACAGAAATATTCTCCATTTCTGGAATGGATGATCCAGAAACAATAAAATTTCCCAGTGTAACTAGAATTCTCACAGAAACTATGCCACTAGAATCGAAACTAGCTTTAGAGGCATGGAAGAAAAGAATGATAAATCAACTTGGACAAGAAGGATTTGAAAAATATCAGAAAGGTATTCAATTGTTTTGTGAAACATTGAAATATGAAATATATTTTTTGGATATTTATTAAAAATTATTTGAATAAATATGAGAAATAAATCTCTATTTACTTTTGATTATACACAGCATTATTAGAAGATGGAGCATCTTTACATTCGTGTATAATGCACAACTTGCTGGAAAAAGACTATGAAGTTCCTTCAAGAATCGAACCAGTTTTTAAAAGTGTTCAACACGTTTTGGAGGATGTGCGCTATGTAAAAGCTGTCGAGACGCACGTGGCTCACACAAAATTGCGTTACAAGGGCATAATCGATTGTGTAGCCTCCTACAGGTAAAAGAGGTATTTTGTTTCCCCATCGAAGGTAAACTCTATTTCTAGATAAAGATCCAAACGGGACATGCACAGCAGATGTCACTGTCTGGTTTCTAAAGATGCAATTCTTTATTTTACAATCCTAAAAATCATTTAAAAAATTTTGTTTAATGTAAATAGATGTATGTTCATGTTTCAGTATTATATATTTTTCATCTCTTGAATTCATATTTGTAGAAATGGAGTTATCTCAGATTTATTATATATTGTACATTTTACAAAATATGTATATCCAAATGTCAGTAATATTCGCTAATTGACAACAAATTTGATCAAATTAATTAAAGTTGCTGTTAATGAGTCAACATTATTAACATTTTGTTTACTGGGTATATACATATATGCAAAATAATTAAGCTGCTTAAAGGCCAAACCAATTAACTTCACTTTTTACAATTTTTTTCAATTTTTGCACTAAAGCACATGATTGGTAGTTAACTTTTTATAAATAAAATAAATTGATAAATTGGCTGTTTTGTGCGGCTTAATTGTAAACTTTGACAATTTCAATTTACAAATTTTTTAAGTGAAAAAAAATTTAAAGCGTTCTATATTCACTTAATATTCTCTCACGCATACTAAATTTATAGGGGCGAAAATTACGTAATTGATTGGAAAAAGTCAGATAAGAAAAAATTGGATTTAAAGCAAACATACGATGGGCCTATACAAATTGCTGCATACATCGGAGCTATCAATGCTTCCAATCTGTATCCCTTTGTGGTGAATATTTTATCGAAATCTTTTACAAAATATAGATATAATTTTTTTGTTAGAAAAACTAATTTTTACTGTTTTTGGACCACTTTCACTGATTTGCTATAATTTATTTATCAGATGCATTTAGTAAAAAAATTATCGCTATTAATATTTTTTGAAAACATAAAAAGTAACGAATTACAATAATGTTATCGTTCGTAATGACTTTTAACGATTATTCATTATTGAAAGACATTCCAGTATTGCTTTAATCCTTCTGTCACAATACTATAGCTGGCCATATCTCTTGATTCTACAGATAAAACGTGGATTACTCGTGATTGCTTACACGTGCGGCACACCAGCGACAGTACATGAGGTGTGCGACAATACACTGCAGCGGTACTGGACTGCATGGTTGCACCGCCTGCAGAAATACTATGTCGAAACAGCGAACAATGATGACAATAAGAGCACACGCCGATAAAACGCTAATGTACCGAAGTACCACGTATATTCATTAAAACTTTTCCACACAAAGCCAATTAAAGCTCTATCCGTCAGCCACAGGTAACTCCCGACAGGAGTCGGCAGAAGTTTTTAATTCCATCCCTTGCGCGTCTGAAGTTGCAATAATCTATAGTCTTTGGGGAGTAGTTGGGAAAGCCCTCCCTCCCTCCGTCGGAGGAGGAAACCGGAGGACGCGGGACACAGCGAGAGGAAAACCGCGTCGATACGGCGACTCATTAAGCCTTGTGGTGGGCTCGGCATTTGTGATTTATGAGAATCCTATGCACATTTTGCAAGCGCCCAAAATAACGATTATTGTAAAAAGATGTAAACTTTCCTTTTCTGTATAATTCATAAAATAAAAATTTTTATTATTAAAAATACATTATGGTATTACAACTTATTTAAAAAAAGCTCTAGAATCAATAAAAATTAATATTCTTTGATCTAATTTGGGAAGTTTTCAAATTAAAGTTTCTGCTAGATAAAGATAATGATAATTTCACTTTCATAAATCGACAACACCGAAGTAATCTACATTTTAATTTTCTGCATTACATTTTTTTCGTCAAAATTATGAGGTGTTTGATTTTAATTTCACTTGCTTTAATTTTGTCGATTTTTTTTTTTTAATTTTGTTTTATATTTTTATACTTAAGGGAGGAAGACTGGTAAAAACCAGTAGCTAGTGTATCATAAAAACGCGGTCAGCGTCCCTGTCGCCAGGACCGTCCGTTAACATACAGCAATTATAACTTTCTGCCGGCAGTTCTGAAGAGGGTGCTACGTTATGTGGTTCTCTGTTACCAGGGCCCATAAACATCGCGCCCAACCCTTCGTATGCCCATGGGGATCGTAAACTAATGGTGAAGCGGTGTAGCGGAATTATATCGTTCGTTGTGTTTCCGCATATCTGGATCACACACAGAAACCTGGAATATTGCGTTAGAATATCAGATATTGTAAACCGCATCCCTTACACCCTGACGGCGTTTCAACCGTACAGCAATGCTCGATGCACTTCACGGTACATTATCATCTTAACGAGAATTTTCCGAAATTTTCGCTCCAGTTTTTCCATGCTTTGGCATTCCCTATTGGCGAAGATCCTTTATGCAGTCAGATGTTTCTGCGTAATTTCTGCGATATTGTACCTCTGGATAATAAATATGCAACATATTTTGTATACACTAGAATATTTTAAATAAAGAAACATAAAAATACAAACGTACAGTAGCAAATGCAAATTTTTTGCTTTTGATATTATTCTATAATGCGGAGAATAAAAAAGATCGTGTAACCCGAATATTAAAATTCATATTTCTTTTTTCTGTTTGCTATAACTAAATGATAAATTAAGAATTAACTTATAATACAAAAACTGTCTGAGAAAAAAGTCCCATAACGATTTGATTATCATGCTAAATACGTAATAATCGCGAATAAAAGAAATTTTAAAATTTAAATAATTTAAGAATTTTTTAAAAATTACATCGACTACCAAATAAACGCGTATAAAAATATCGTACTACGCCACTGAAATGTCAACTTATTATTCCTTTCAAGAACTTTTCCTTTCTTCTTTTTTTTATTCTGTTAATAATAATTCTTCGGTATCTTTTCCACGACAATCAGCCTTTACAAGCGATGTTGTTTTACATCAAAGAACTCTTCCATTAATGTGCAAAGTAACAACACAATTACTGCTTTCTTCGTCTTTCAAAAAGTAAATGCTCTTGTCAAGTTACGAAACAAATGTTGCAACATATAGAAATATCGATAAACAAAGCGATAATAATGACTGTATTACGGAATTGTTCTCATAAATCTATTTATGATTTTCTCGCAATAATCAAGTAAGAATTCATTAAAAAACTAAACTCACTGACACAGTAATATTTAATTCACATACAGTATAATATTCAATTCCTGCAGATTTACGTTGATTGAAAAATATTTAAAAAATTAATTTGAATATTTCATCTTAAAGATTGGTGGAAAAGTTCCGTGATGTATGCACACGTAATCGTGAGCACTTGGCGAAATGAATCGCGAAATAAATGTAAAATGGTACCCGCAGCAAAACTAACGACGTTGACTCGGTGAAAACATCGTTACGACGCATTTCTTCCGTCTTCATGCGGAGCGTCGGATCAAAAGAGCGAGGAGCTACTGTTCTGCAATCTGTTTTCGTAATACGAGGTAACGTCGCAAAGTGAAATTTAGTGCAGGCCGCGGATTATCCAACGCTGCTGCCGAGAATTCCGTCGCTCGCGCGCGTGCCCCCCCTTGCGTTTCCTACCGGAATTCTCAGCAAAGACAACCATATTTCCGGATTAGACATTTAGCGAGCGCCCAGCCCCAGATGACTCTAAATCTCCCGGCTAATCCTTGCTAATCCTCCCGTAACAGCGGCATATTTTCATCGGCCGGTCCACCCTCTTTGAGCGCGAAGAGTTATGAAAACGATAATTTTGACTCGGACGAAACCTCCCTTCCCGCTTCACCGCTCTTCTTAGACACACGGTGAAGACTCGAGAAAATGTGCCGCGGGTACTATCGAACTTGCAATTTATTGGAGACCTCTGAGGAAGATGCCCTTCGAGCGATTCCTTATATTCCTCTCCTTAATGCAGCGCCGAATGAAAGCGGATTTTTATTAAGTTCACTTTATGACTTGATAAACGTCAGCAATTTCTCGCGTATACCAGAAATATTGTATAAAAGTTTTTAATAACGCTTTATCGCATTTTAATCCTTTTACATGTTTTAGAAATCATGGCAAAGTTGCAGACAATAAATTTAAATAGTGATATCTTGATAATGACATATTTAAAAAACTTTGAAAAACATGTATTAAAATAGAAAAGTAAGAATAAGAGATAATAATCATAAAAATGATTTACATTATATAAAATATTGCATTAATATAATGCAACTTTGAAAGTTTCTTCACAAGATTTATGTATATGCAAGAAGGTTCCTTCAGAGATTGTGAAATATTTTCAACATTTCAGCAGATGGCACAATCAAAAGCAGTCGCGAAATTGTTCTTCGCGAGAGCACTGCTGTATTTCTTCCATTAATAACCGGTCGCGCAAAACTTTTCATACTGGCGCATAACAGTCCTCAGGACCGTATCTTCTCGAGATCGCAATAGCTCGGCTAAAGTCGTCAGCGAGCAAACTGGAGCACGTCCGAAATTACAAAGTTTCTATCGTCCTGCCGACGACGACGAGGAGTCCTACCTCGATGTCGATATCTTTCGGAGAAGTTTCACCGGCGGTCTGTCGTCGTCCTTCTGTCGGTTAACCGCGGCGAGTGCTTCGAACGGCGAAAAGTTTATAAATACAAGGAGGTTGAACGCCTCGAAGGAAAATCGACGAGCGCGACCGCGATGATAAAGGCAAAGCCTCGTCCGAAGAGTCGCTTGCCCGAATTAATCCTCTTCGGGAGCGCGGCGCAGTGTCGTGCATGAATTATCGATCGTTACTGCGCGCAACGGTCACGCTACATTTGCCTTCCAATAATAATTAATAATCAAGCGAAGCGGAGCGCCAGGGCCAACCTACAAAGGACCGCATTACACGCGAGACGGAAAACGACCACGTGCAAACGCCACGCCGGTCAGCCGGTCTGAGCATTATAGGATACCACCGGCACGACTTTATGTCGTAAACTTCGGAATCTGACTCCTGCAATGCTGCTCTTGGATAAATCAATAAATAACTTGCTAGTAAGCAAATAATTGCTAAATTAATTAATAATTACGAAATTAATATCTTTCTTATACTTTCTTATGAGCAAACTGATGAATAATAATTTTCTGAAAATAGATATGACACCTGTTCTTTATTATTTTAGCTACTTATAAATTAAATAGCTACACGGTGCAAGACTTCTAGCTTTGAAATATATAGAATGTCCCAGATTAATCGTATCACTCGTTAAAAGCAGATTCTTCAGAAGAGTTGGTTCGCGATAAACCCTGTATATTTTGAAATGTACATCCTACGGGTAAAAAAAAACACCTTTCATGTTATTGCATATACTAGTTAAAACAACTCGCTGTTCCTGCAAAACAACCATTGTTTCGTAAACATTGTGCCGACCGGCTTATGCACTTACAAACATGCTTATATTGCACGTTTCCAACGTGGTTCCTCTTTGGGGACTTGCTCAGGTGTGCACCTGCGGCCAATTAGTGAGCGCGCATTAAAAGCGATTCAAACTACGTCGTAAAGTGAACATCGTGTAATTGTACCCGTTATAGTTGGCTCACCTACAACGCGTGTGCGTAATAATGCGGCAACTTGCCGAGATCGATAAGCCTGACATGAATAAAGTGTCTAGAGGGTGTAAAAAAAGAATTCTGTGCTGGCTTTCACCTACATATACTTAGTTGTGGTCTAAAATAATAAAATTCGTTTAATTCAAACCACTTACGATTATATTTCTTACTTAAAATTTTCCTCGTAATAAACTCATTCCAAGTATAACACTTTCTTTTAAAGAAAATTTTTAATCAAATATTATTCTCAGTTTCTCTTTCTTACATTTTTTTCTGAGTTTTCAAAATTGTTAATTAAAACTTCTAAAGAAATATTAATAAGTTTGTAAATAATTTTCTATAAAAAAATTATTAACAACTTTCCCGCTAAAAACGAGACGCTGATTTTGTGAAATACTTTATACAATGCAACGAGAAAAAAAAGACATAATTTTTTCGTTTTTTTTGACGCTAAGCTAAATATCGCACCTTGATACAACGCCTGAAAAACATCGATTAAACGCCGGGTCGAAAAAGGGGTCAGGGGGCAAGTAGGAGTTTTCCTGTGTGTCGTCGAATTCGCATACCGTAATGCTTTCGCAGCCGGCTGCCTCGTATTGCAAAACTCTCGCGTATACCCGGCGTGTTCGTCGTCGCGCAATACGTCATCGAGCCGCTCGCGAGCAATTTCACGGCGCGCTATATCTCACCGGGGGAAAACTCCCGGCAGCTGTATATTGCGAAATCGGCGAGATCTGCCGCAAGCTTGAAAATATAACCCCGGCTATAGTGCGGGGCGTACTTTCAGTTCCCTGATGTTCCCATTTCTCGCGTTCGCGCATCGGATTTCGGCCCGCTTCGCACGCGCGCCCAAATCGCGACGTACGAAATCAAATCGTCTTTCTCGTGTACAAAATATTCCAGATGCACTACAACAGATTTTCAACAGATTTCGGCGACAATTTCGCAGACAATTATTCGTCATAACTGTTTAATTTTCAACGTTGAATTTATTTACACTTAAAAACTTAAATTAAGCTTTCGTCAAGATTATATTAAAATATTTGTTTCAATTTAGGTCAATCTCGGTCTAGCAGTTTA